TCAAAACTGTTGAATGAATAGAGTTATATCAGTTGTGGTTTAAGGGAGAGTTTTGTGGGACGAGAAGAACAAAAAGAAATCTATTGTTTTTTTAATCGGTTTTTCTTGTGAAAATCTTTTTTAGCGGAAAATTCGTCGCAACTTTCTTTCAAAAACGTAACGACTTAACGAGGGTCGTAGATATTGAAATTTAGGTCTTTAAAAACCTACAAACATAAGACTAATGTACACACAAATCGAGAATTTTTTAGCTATTTAGCTTTTGAGTTTTGTCTTTGTTGTTGTTTTTTAAGTTTGTCGCGTTTTTAAAGATTTTGGTGCGATACTTACATTCTGATATTCATCTTCAAATTATTGAGAACGTTTTGTGTACTTTACAAAAAGTGTGACATCTATAACAAGTGGCTAGAAAACGTTTTTACATTGACAGAAAATAATCATATTAAACCGAGTTTTTAAAGCAAAACGTATTCGACAGATGCGAAAAACCACTGATTTTATTAATGTTGTGAAGTCATTTATCAAGGTCTTCGCTACGCTAGTTAGCACACTAGAGAGTCCCAGTACAATTGTAAAGAGTAGTATATCCCTGTATTTATAAGACATAAGCTTAAATAAGATATGTTGAACTCCAAACTGAAAGATTATTCTCATTTTTATGGTCTATGCATTTTTTTGCAAGCTGCTCCGTAAATATTTTGAAATAGCTGAGTTTCCTAATGAATTTGTTCTATTTTATTGAAGAAATATTTACTTACAATTTAACGGTTTTTTTTTCCTCAAAGTTCAGTCTTCAATTCGCAGCTGACCCAGCAGTCCAGAGTACTCGCTGTTTTAGTCACGATCCTAGTTTGCTTAGCTAACATGAAAATACTTAAACTAAGGGATTGTTTGTTTTACCATAAAGCAAATTTTGATTGGCTAGGTGTTTGCCTTATCATTGTTTTCTTTTATGCAGTACTCTTGAAGAAGTCCACGCCATGGTCGTATCACCATCTGGTCGTCACCAGGTTGCTCGGTTGATTTCAGGAGAGCATGGGGTCTGGTGCACAATACGAGGGTAAGGAAAATTGATATCAATTATCATCATCAAAATCATTATCATAATCATGGTTGTACACAAATGAAAAAATGAAAAC